GAGCTGCAAGAGGATGGAGGGAAGAAAGAGCTGAGAGGATCATGGTGATGAGTTTGCTGAAGCTCACTGGCTTCTTTACTTGTTGCAGAAACAAAGGGTTTATTTGTTCTCAGTGAAGAAGAAGAAGAAGAAGCAAACCAGAGAAAGAAAAACAAAGAGGAAGGGATTGATATAAGAAGGAGCCATAGAAAGAAGATAGATTCTTTCCTTCTGTATGTGCTTCAAGGGGCCACACAGAGCATACACTCAACGTCCGGATGGTTGACCTTTAATTTATAGGCTGGATTTCGTGGCCATTCAACATTATATAATTTCATGTTGGTCAATATTGAATATTGTATTCTAATTAACCATACAATTATTTGCCATACAATTACGAATGTATTGTTCAGTACTAAACTCAGACTCGAGCATGATAAAGTTAAAACGGAAATAGTTCTTATTATGTGATTTTTTTTAATCCACAAATTATGTGGATTCACTACTACAGAAAGATGTATAATTGACGCCCTATAATTGACATTTATTTAAAAAAATGACAAATAAAAAAGGCGGAGAATACTTGACGGTTTCCACGAAACAAGCGTCAAATATTTAAGTAAATACTTGACGGTTATTTAAAGATAACCGTCAAGTATATATATTTGATGTTTTTTTATAAATAACCGTCATATAAAGCAAAAATTTACACGTCGGTCTTCAATAAACAAATGTCAAATTAATAGTAGAAAAAAAAATTAAATTTTTTTACATACTTGATGCTTGTTTTGAAATAACCGTCAAGTTTGTCTGCCATATACTTGACGGTTGTTTTAAAACAAGCGTCAAATCTGTAATACTTGACGGTTATTATGAAATAACCGTCAAGTATTATCATTTAAATTTTCTCCAGATTTCTTTTTCGCTCTCCATTTCTACAAATCTTTCGTCTTCAGAAACAAACCCAGAGCCACCGAAACCCATTTTTCGTCACTCTAACTGCCAAAAAACACGTTTTCGGTCTCGATTCTTGAGAGGTTTTTGATTCTCGGCCTCCATAAGTCTCGTGGGCACTCATTCGTTGGGATTCTCGGTCTCTATCACTCTGCATCAGACTCTCGTCTCTGTTTTTTTGCACAGTCGGTGTTCCCTCTTCTTGTTGAGGTAGGTTCTTGCTTTCCCAATCATTAATCTTCATTTTGAATGATTTTGATTTTCATACATAATAAATAATTTTTGTGTTATTTATTTTGATCTGCATTGTTATTCTTCTCAGTGAGTGTTTGAAGTTTTGAGTTTTTGGGTACTTAATTATTGAATTAAGGGATCATCCAATTTTTTTGTTGATATGAGGAGATTCATTAAGGATATGAAAATAGTATACCACCTAATTACCTTGTTTTTAATATTTTTGATATTTTAAATTGATATTTATATAGTATTTGATGTGGTTTAATATGATTTTAATTAAAATTGAGTTTCTTATTAATGTTGTTATTATTGTTGTTGGATCATATATAGTCTCATTATGGATAACTTGATTTTTTTAAAGGCATAAAGACCTGGTAATACTCATTTTAAGCCGTTATATATATTATCAATTTTTTTAAATTATTCTTGAATATAACTTTATGTGTTTGTTGTTGTGGATGTTGTTGTTGTTGTCATTTAGATTAATAGGAAGAGGGGATAAGGCCCGGGAAACTCTCTTTTTTAAGTTGTTATGCTGTCGAAATTATTTCAATGGCTAGCATTAAAATATAATTATTAGTTTTAAACAAGATTAAAGAGGGAATGTGCAAACATGTGGTTAGTGACTTATTGACTAATTGATCTTTGTATCTAATTCTCCCACTATCTAGGAGTAGTCAAAGTCACTAATCATATTTTCCTCTTAATCTTTCTAGGAATTATGGATAAGGAATGGATGTCTGTCAATCGTCTATCCAAGGAATATTGGGATGGGGTGGCAAATTTTGTTAAGCTTGCAGTTAAGCATGCGGAGGATCCTACCAGGATTGTTTGCCCATGTTTAAAGTGTGGTCTTGTGAGGCGGGTTAGTCCAGATACTTGTGAAGAACACCTCGTGATTAATGGGATGGATCAAAGTTACAAGTGTTGGACAATGCATGGAGAGACAAGAGATGATATTGGTTGCAGCCAGAAGCATAGTGAGAGCTGTGCATCATCTCCTGATGATTTTGACACATGCACACTTGAGGAAGATTGTCTTGAAAAAATAAATGAAAGTAACGACACTGTTGCTGAAGCTCTATACATGAGAAATGATCACAATGAAGGCATTTGGATTTCAAAGAGGGGTAAATTATTTCAGCATAAGAAGAAAATATTTCAAGGAGGGAGAAGTAAAAAACCCAAGTCAAGGAAACGAAAAAGAGCAACTTGAACATGTAACCTTTGAATTAATTATGCCATTTTTATTTCATGTTTGAATTAATATAGTCGATTATATTTGAATTAATCATGGTTGATTAATTTTTTGAATTAATCATGGTTGATTAATTTTGGAATTTTATTGTGTTACAGGTAAATGGCTTCAGATTCTGAGTCCACTGAAATCCCTCCATCAGATCCCGCTACAACTTGTACTGATGCTCCGTTGTCACAAAAAAAATTGGAATAGGAATATTACAATATCCAGTGAGGCCTAACAATAATGGAAGAAGTCACAAAAACAAGAGCAGCAGGGAAAAAAATATCAGTGCAATGGAACAAGAAAGGCCAAGCCATCAAATCTGCAAGGTTTATAAGTTATATTGGGGTTGTGGCAAAGACAACTGTACCTATCACTAAGGTACGTAAAACCGGACCGATCATTGAACCGATCACGACACTGGGTCACGGGTTAGTGGTTCAACCGGGGGTTAAATCAGTGACAAACCGGTCATAATTAAAATAATACAATTTAAATAAAAAATATTAATTATAAAAAAGTCAACTAAATTCAACCACTCAAAAGTCTAACAATAATAAAATACAACACTTCAAATATCAATCCTTAATTTCTGACAATTACAACCCTTCAATCATTAAAAAGTCTAAAAGTCTAAAACTAATATTCACCAACACCAAAATCATCATTAACTTCATTCAAATTTTCGGGCATTGAGACATCAGGAGTTGAATGAGAAAAACCAGAACCACTAGTAACATCAGGCAAAGGTGGGGGCTCTAAAACATTCATATATTCATCACCTACAACAAATAAAAATTAATACTAATGAATGGCATTTTAAGAAAGAAATTCATATACTTGTATTAGACATGATAGTAGATTTAATAAACCTTCATAATCCCTCTCAAGGGTTGATAGAGCAGCTGTGGTTTCATTGTGAATGACACTTTCAAGATTTGCAACATTTTGAGAATCAAACTCAGGAGCTGGCTCTTCCTCTTCTTCAGCCACCCAAAAGTCAACTTTGTCAATTGATTCATAATCAATGGGATCATAACTTTTATTTTTCCTCAATTGACTCCTTGAAAAAAAAATAAAACAATTAAATATGATAAACAATAATAAAAATACAGCATCATTAAAAGTTGCTTTAGATTAGGTAAAAGTTGCATGAAACTGAGACGCGCGCAAAACATATGAATATGTACATGCACATGTAATCCCTTCCCCGTGCATCATGCATTTTGAATCTGTTATGCTGCCCATCTCCCCATAATAGCACATAAAACCACATATTAAATTTTAAGATAATAATAATCTATCCATGCCATTAAAAATAAACAGTCAGCTTTTTTTATGAAATGTTCAAAGGATGCTTAATTACATCAATCAACGTGGTTGAAATGGAGAGGGAAGAAGCAAAAAATGACTATCACGTGAACGTAAGCATTATCTAACAACATCAATAACTTAAGGTTCAAATCCTCTAAATATAATGTGAAAGTAAGCATTTTGAGTGATAGATGAAGGGGAAAAAATGCCTAGATACAGCATCAAACTTCCACCCTTTCACTGCAACAAATATCAAATATAAATGAGCACTTTTGATGGTGTAGAGGAAAAACTAATAAGAAGAAAAGAAAAGAAACATCACATAAAAAAGCATTGCCATTCAAAACTCTAATTTTTACCTACGCTTCAATCTCAAATTATAATTTATAAAAACCAAATCATTCAATCTTTGATGTTGTAATCTATTTCGTCTTTTGGTATGGATGCGTTCAAACAAACTCCAATTTCTTTCACAACCAGAAGAAGAAGAAGTTTGGCTAAGAATGCGCATTGCAAGAGTTTGCAATTCTGGAACAGAACCTCCATAGAATGACCACCATTCATCTGCAAATGAAAATATTTAGTTAGGTGTTAATCATATAATAACTAGAATTACCGTGGACATGTTAAATAATAAATATGAATACTCACAAGGATCTAATTTCTGGGCTGCTCTCTGACATGAAGTTTTATCAAAAGACTCTTTACGATCACGATACAAACTCAACTGCTTCATCATCACAATATAATCAATTTCTTCACTTTCATTAGACTCAAACACGTCAAGCATTGCATCCATTAACCTTCTTTTATGAACAAAGTTCTCATCATACAAGAATGCAGGATTCAACAAATACGTCGCTGCATGAAGATTTATCTTAAAGTGCTTATCCCATCGAGCTTGAATAATGTTTGTGTAAGGCTTGTAATAATTTTTGTTATTGTTGAATGTTGCCTTGATTGCTTTTTTTGCCCTTTGCATGCCTTCATAAACATAAGGCAAAGAAGGCTTCTCATCTGAATCCACAATTCTCAACAACTTTATAAGAGGAGACACAACCTTCACAATTTCTAAGCAATCACCCCAAAAGCCATTATCTAGTATGATGGCAGTAACAATTATTCCAGCTTGAGTCTTTGACAATTTGTGATCTATAAAGTGCTTATCAGTCACCAAAGCTTGCAAGTCATGCTTATGCATATATATGCTATGCAATGTGATAAATGTAGTAGCAAATCTTGTTGCACCAGGACGCACAATTTCTTTCCAACCCTATCTTTTCCTAAGCCATGACAAGAAGATCATATGGTTATAAACAAAAACAGTTATCTTTGATGCCTTAGTTGCAAGTGCTAACACATTTTCTAAGCTTGCTATATCTTTTAAAGTAAGGTTCAAACAATGAGCAGCACAAGGTGACCAATAAATATTTTTATATTTTTCCTTAATCAACTTGCCACATGCTACATAATTTACAGCATTATCAGTCACTACGTGAACAATGTTCTTGGGACCAACCCACTCAATCACTTCACAGAACAATGAGAACAAAGTCCTAGCATCTTTTACCAAATCTGAAGCATCAACAGATTTCACAAAAACCATTCCATATGTAGAATAGACTAAGAAATTAATCAAAGTTCGCTGCCTCACATCTGTCCAACCATCAGCCATGAGTGTACATCCAGTGTTTTTCCATTTAGCTCGATGACTCTCAATAAGTAATTGACATTCCTTTTTCCAATCTGTCAACAAATTGATTCTAAATTCATAAGCATTAGGGGCTTTGAACCCCGGCCCAATTGAAGCAATAGCATCTATGGCTTTTTGAAATAAAGGACAATCTAATGCATTAAATGGAATACAATTGACGATAGCCCATTCAGCAATAGTCATTTTTGCATTGTACTGTGCTTCTTTTGTTGCAAGCACACTCTTGATGCTAGGTTGGGAACCAGGAGTTGTCCTGGGGGCAAAATAATTCTCAACTGAAGCAGTAGAAGCTTGCCTCTTATTGGCACTTCTCTCAGGGACTGTCTTAATTGGAGTAGGGGCAATTGGATCATTAGTTTCGAGGTCCCCAATGTCTACTTGTTCTTGTTCTTGTTCTTTTCTATCATCAACCTTCCTTTTTCTCCCACCTTTCAAAGACTCAACCATCCTGTGACGTACATCATGAGGAACTTTCTTACAAGAAGCTACTTGACCACTCACACCAGCAAGATGTTGCTTCATTCTGTTAATCCCACCTCCTCCATAACTTGATGCACAATAAAGACAAGTATATATATTTTTCTAGCCCTCTTTTCTTAAGGCAACATGTGCCCAAGCAGGGTCAGTTTTTCCACGCACAGATAGGGCCTCACATGTTGAGTTATTACCACTAGGAGGGGGATCATTGGAATTGGAGGTAAGATTCTCATTTCTATCATTAGGACTACTTCCAATATCCATAATCAATACAATGACTATATTTTATTCTGCAAGCTAAAGAGAAAGCTTCAATTTTATTTTTTAACACAAATGTAAAATTTAAATAATAAATTAACAATAAAGCTGAATCAAGAAACAACTAGGCACGAGAAGAGGCAAGCTGAATCATATCTAAAAACAACAATAACAAAAAGAGACAACAGTCACGAGCAAAATCAAGCAAACAATCATCTTCTCCAGAAATAAAAATAATCAGTAGCTTACTTAGCAATAAGCAATCAACTACTGAAAGCAATATAATTCAAGAAAGCAATAAGCTTACTTAGCAGCAAAAGCAATATAGTTTAAGAAACAACAATCAGGCAAAGAAACAATAATCATGAGCTGAAGTAAGAAATAAAAACAAAGTCCAGCACGAGATATAGTGAAATTGACCTGATGAGCACGAGCTGCCGAATCACTCTGTCACAATGAGCTGAAGCTGAACACTGTCAAGAAGAACTGAAGAAGTGAAAAACTACAGATCGAGATGATGAAGTATATCTCCTGTGCGTGCTCTGCCTCTTATTTCAAATCAATTAGAGAAGAGGAGAACTAGAGAAGAGACGGAGGTCGGAAACAGAGTGTGAGGCCGATTAGGTTAGGGCGACTGGACGAGAGAGGAGAGACGACGCAACTAACTGAGTGATCTGATATTCTGAGTCAGCAAAGTGGCGAAGGCGACTGAGTGATGCTCGTCCCGTGATACTGATCTGAATATCTGATGACTGATAGTGATCGAAGACAGCGTCTGTGAAGTGGTGAAGGCAAACCCTGGCTGGACTGGACTGACTTTCAATTCTGTTCAGCTGTTCCTCATTTAGGCCGCTTCATCGCTTTAAGGCTTGAAAAAAAATCCCCCAAAACGACATCGTTTTGGGGGTTCAGCTTGAAAAAAAATCAACTTGGTTAACCCAGTCAACCCATCGGGTTATCCGGGTTACACCGGGTTGAACCCGGGTTGACCGGGTTACACCGGGTCAAACTCATACTGGTTTAGTCATGAACCCAGATCGAAAAAGGGACTGGGTCACCGGGTTCCGGGTTGACCCGGCCGGTCCGGGTTTCCAAACCATGCCTATCACGCAGAAATCTTGGCGCAAAGTTGATCAAGCCACGAAGGACATTGTTTGGGAGACTGTATTTGCAAGTTACATTTGACTAAGTTATATTCTATTATAATATTATAAATTGATGCACCTACCATATTTATTTTATTTTACAGTCAGGATTTGAAATAGACGAGAGCAAGAAGGATCTTGTCCTTCAAAAGGTTGGGAGGGCATTATGGTCTTTCAGACATTTTATTACATAAAAATATTTGAAAGACCCTGATGCTGAATTTGTAGCCCAAGTTCCTCCCCTATTACAGCCTTTAGTAAAGCAAGAAGATTGGGATGCTTTTGTTGTCTCTCGGCGCGAGAAGGAATTTAAGGTATTTATGTTTCTAAAATTTAAATTTTAGTGCCTTTTATTGAATATATCCATGTGTACTAACAGGATATTTTTGTTATTGATTAAAGGAACTGAGCGCCCAAAATAAGAAGAGAGTGGCCAAGAATGAATACCCTTACAGAGCAGGGAGGTTAGGGTATGCAGGCGTGGAGCAGAAAGAAGTTGAGGCCGAGGGATCGGATGTTACTATATCCTGCCAAAGACTCTGGGCATTGGCACGAACAAATAAAGATGGAGTGATTGACAACCCTCGTGTGAAAGAGGTTGCTGAAAAAATTGTAAGTGTTATTCTTATCTATCAATTAATAAATGATTATTAAAAGACATACTAATTAGCTCTACTTTTCACAGGATTCCCTCTCTTAAGAAGTATCACAGGGCAAGCTTCCTTAGCATGAGGATATCTTAGCTAGAGCGTTGGGGACCCCTGACCACCCTGGTCGTGTTAAGGGTGTTGGCTTCAGTGTCACAAAGAAGCAATACTTTGGCAATATTAAGAAGTGAACATCGGCTTCTTCATCCGAGGTCCAAGAGTTGAGAGAAGAGCAAGCTGTTATGAAGCAACAGCTAGAAGCCCAAGCAAAGTTAATTGACATGCTATTGAAGGGCCAAATCCCTGGGAGGCTTTTGGGTGACGTTAGCCCCAGCGGAAAAGATAGCTGCACAGTCCCTTCAGACAAAATACCCGAGGTAATGCATTTTCTCTTTTAAATTTGCTCAACTAATTTTTTATCTAAACAACTAACATTCTTCATTTATTTAGGGCGAGAATGACTGCAACTGTTTAGCAGACAATCCGTCACGCAAAGTAGTTGCAACGGGACGCGTGTATAACATTGCTGGGGACACAATCCATAACCTTCCCCTCTCGCCCGATTGCATTAGGGTTTCATTGCTTGTTGCAATCGACCCCAAGTATCCATTACCTTATCCTACCGATAAGATGCAGACGGTAGGAGATGCGTTGGGGAGCTTCGTTGCATGGCCCAGCCACCTTGTTATGGTTAGTACACTAAAGCCGACAAAGGACCCAAAGCCGTCAAAGGACCCCTTGCCACCAAAGAAAAAGGTATATATGATTTATATAATTATTTAAAATCTTTAATATATATATATATATATATGTCTAACTTTTTCATTGTATAGCCAAGGGGGAAAAGCAAATTGAAGGATAAGGTGTCGGGCCATACTAAAGAGTCAGTCACGATTTTGCAACATGCAGTGCCTATGCCTGTTGTAGAAAACAAATTCTGTGACTCTCTTGAGACCTATGCTTCGGCTACGAGGATGATTCGTCAAGAGCCAATAGGGGATATCATTAATTTTGATGATGGGCTATTTGGTAGAGCATCATTTGAAGTCGTTCGGGATGAAATTTTGAATGAAATCCTCAAGCACGATATGGCGAGCACTAGTTTGATGACTTTCTACATGAGGTAATTCTTCAACATTTATTAGTTAATTTCTTGAATTATTTATGTGTGTGAGTATGCAAGCATATTAACTTGTATATTTTTTCACCCAAGTCACCTTTATACCTCATTCGTGGTTCCTGGTGGCCTCGAGTCAAAGATCAAACCGGTTAATCCTCATGATATCTCTCCCCACAATAATATTACAAAGGAAGCCCTTGAAAATCAAGCAAGAATGCTTTCGGATCAATTTCGAGAAAGAAGAGCAGCGAAGGATACTTTATTTCTCGCTCCTTACTGCCAAGGGTAAGTTGTTAATATTTGTTACGAGTAAATATTTTTTTATATTTATTTGTTTGGTAACATGTTCTGTTTCTTGTTAGGGGACACTGGATACTTATTGTGGTTAATCTCGTTGCTCTAAAAATATGGTATCTCGATCCCCTTAATGGAGAGTCAAGCAACAGGGAAGATATGGTGGTACTTTTTAATGAGTAAGTTAGATTTTTTTACTTGTTATTTCTTTTTAATTTTAGTTTTCATTCATATATATTTCTCACATTCATTCCATAATTCCTTCTTAGAGCTGTGGTGTTGTATCGCACTGTGACCGACATGACTGTGTCCCCTAAGATGAGGGCATTCGAATCTTCAGAGAAATGGGTCACTGTTAAGGTATTCATTTAATTGGTCAAGTTTTTAATCAAGAAATTGTCTCATTATATTTTGCAATTTCATTGATATGTATTTTTTTATAGTGTCCATTCCAGCCAGATCAGAGCAATGACTGTGGTTATTGCTTGATGAAGTTCATGAAGGATATTATCACTCATGCCCCTACCACATTATCTAACAAGGTATATATATAAAATTTAATTACACTTCAATTATAAATTTTAAACAATTTTAATTAGCTACCTATTAACTTGAAATTGTTATAACTATTTGCTTACAGTACTTCGAGGACGTCTATTGCGTTCGTTATACGACTGCACATGTAGGAGAGGTCCTTGAAGAGGTGGCCCAATATGTTTTCAATATGTGGGTAGCAACAGTAGTTAGGCCAGTACAATAGTTAGTTACATTTATATACACATTTTTGGGCCAATTATTATGGGATAGACCACTTAATTTTGAAACATTAGTTTGTAAATAAGTTTAGATTTTAAGGTTAAATGTATAGAAATTTTTATGTTAATTAGATAGGAGATATTATTACAAACATTCATTATATTGCATTATTTTCGTTGCTGGCTGGCTTTTTTTTATCTTTATCTATATCTTTATGTAGGGGGCTGCTTTAAAAGCAGCTACCATATAAAAAAAAATTGACGCTTGTCGTCAAGTATTTATGGCCAAAAGAACATTGGCCATAAATACTTGACGCTTGTTTTGAAACAAGCGTCAAGTATTTATGCTGGGAAGTGCATATTTACTTCATATACTTGACGGTTGTTTTCAAATAACCGTTAAGTATAAGATTAATACTTGACGGTTTTTAACCGTCAAGTATTATTTCTTTAATATATGTCGCATCCTTACTTGACAATTAAAAACCGTCAAGTATTGAAAAAAATAAGCGTCAAGTATGGGTATTTTTTGTGGTAGTAATTTTCAGTTTTGTTTAATAGAATTGAATTGTTTTTATTCAATCCAACTGCCACTAAATTTAATTAAAAAAATATTAAAATCCCATCCCATTATATATAAAAGACAAATTAATTAATTTCATTGACCCGGATAGCATAGTACGAAGCTCCTCTGTACACAATTTTAGCGTTTGCTTCGAAGGCTCTCCCATATAGAAAACAGCCAAAATGCCTAGGGTCAAATAATCAATATTTTTCCAAACATTAAAATATCCTAGGATATGCAACTCCGCATTGATTACTTCTC